TTTTTCGGATAATATCAAACAGTGATTGGTTATGCATTGAAAATCATTGGAAAAAATAATGAACAAATTTTCGAGTCGTTTAAAACAAGTGAATTATCTTATGCTTGGTGTGGTCCAGTTTTGTGTTTTCATGTTGATCGCCCCGAAGATTTTCAGGCGATTTTAACATCAAACATTTGTTTAAAAAAAGCATTTCCATATGACTTTGCGAATAGTCCCAACGGTTTAACATTGTCGCATCCACGTATTTGGAAAAATCATCGTCGTGCATTGAATCCAACTCTTGGTCAAAAAATGGTTAACAGTTTTTTGCCAATTTTCAACGAAAAAGTTGAAAAAATGTGCAATTTAATGGAGCGAAAATTAAATAACGATATCGATATTTACCGATTTTTATTCAACGCATCACTGGATTCAGTTGTATGCACAGCGTTTGGCTTCAATTGGTCGATGCAAAATAGCAGAGGTGATGAGATTCACAACATAATTACCCTAGCTTTGAGATGTATCCAGAATCGTATTCAAAAATGTTGGCTTTGGTGGACCCCCATCTACAAATTTACGCAGAATTACACATGGGAAACTGAACTATTTCGTAAATTTTATCAATTCACTCGAGCTACATTGGAACTAAAGCGAATAGATTTATCGGAAAAATTGGACCACGAAGAAAATGAATTGGCTGCGGCAAAAAATGAAAATAGACAAAACTTTTTACAGAAATCTCTACAATTGGAATTGGAGCAAAAATGGACCGAAGAAGAAGTGTGTCAAGAGTTAGATACGTTGTTGGTGGCAAGCATCGATACTACAGCAACAGCTTTGTACGGAACAATAATCATGTTGGCCATACATCAAGAATATCAAGAGCGCGTAGTGGACGAGATGCGAGAAATATTTGAAAGCATTAATGAACCAGTGACAAATGACCATCTGAAACGAATGACTTTTTTAGAACTCGTTATAAAGGAAGCATTAAGACACTTTCCTATTGTACCATTCTTGGGACGTGAAGCTATGGCGGATTTTCCTATAAATGAAGGCGTCATACCGAAAGGTTCACAAATTTTTTTGAATGTACTACGAATGAACAAAAATCCAAAATACTACGGTGAAAATGTCAATGAATTTTATCCTGAGAGATTTTTACCCGAAAATAGTGCCAATTTTCATCCTTATTTATCGATTCCATTCTCAGCGGGACCACGGAACTGTACGTAAAAGTATATTATTTCAAGATTTTCATTTAATTACAAATGATACTCTTCATTCAACAGGCATTGGCGAACGCTATGGGTGGGCTTCCATGAAAATAGCTTTATCACATATTCTTCGGCGCTTCAAACTAACTACAAAACTTAGAATGCAGGATGTAATTATAGAACCATCACTTCTTTTAAGAATTTGTAATGAAGATGCTATTCATATCGAACGACGAGAATGGAAATGAGAAAACAAAATTCTATAAATGTGTGTGGTTTTCTATTTTGTAGTAAATTTCTAATTTTTCAATCTTAGGTAATAATAATTTTATGTTTTTCTTTGTTGTATTTTTGAAATTGGAAAAAGAGTGGTTTAATCATTTTCTCGG